CGGTGAAAGAGCAACAGGCAATGTGGGGTGACAAGGAAATTCCTCTGGTTTTCCATTGAAGTCCAAAATTCCAACAACTCGCTGTTTGCTTTAGGTGGGGGGCCGGTTGTGGTTTTTCTTTATTACTACTTGCATATATTATGTCTATGACAACTGCAGTGGTGCCTCGAGAGACAACTTGAATTGGTTCTGTGAAGGCTCGATCGATCATCTTTGCCATTGAAATGAATGGAAATGCCTTGAAACCATCCCAGCCTTCCCCCAACATCAACAAAAACTTGTAACGTGTGTTTTTGTGAGGAAAAATGACATATGCGGCAATGACATCGTTCAGGAGAATTCAGCGGGTTTCATCACACCGCATCAATTGAACGGCCGATGCGCTGATCTTTCTGTTGTGCCCGCCTTGGCCAGCTGGGGGCAGTTTAATACAGACAGACGAATATATTGATCACTGAGGCAGCTCAACTCATCGCAGCTCAACACTACGCCACTAATATTAGTTGTTCTACGCAGAGGCTAAGGAATATATGACTGTGAGTATGCCTGTCTACATTGTATGACTGTCTGTCTGTCTTAACCTGTCTTCAGTGAATTACTTGGAGGGTTGAAGTGCCCAAAGATAGCGGCTATTTAGCATTAGCACTAAGCTAGGGGACCGAAACGCTAAGCAATTTAGTTGTTTTAAATACACAAGTTTCTCCGTTTGTGTAATTTGTCTTCGTTTTTGCTTAGTCTGACTGTCAACTTCAACTGTGAGTGGCATTAAACAGCTTGAGGATGCTTTGGAGAAGAATCGCTCACAAGTCGAGTCGCTCGTATCTCAAGGCACCACTGTATTCATGTTTTCAAGCTAAATCCAAGGCCAGTTTAGCCATGAGGTCTGATGTGGGCCAGAGACCATTCAATCCAAAAGTGTAAGACTTCCTTTCAAGGTTTGGGATTAAAAGCGCCATGGCCGTCCCATTGCAAACATACTAAATTTGCATGCGTGTGTGCGTGTGTGTGCATAAAGGTGGGAATCCTGCAATACGGTGAGGTGGCAGTCCACGAGTGGTCGCTGAAAGAATACCAGACCACACAGGAGGTGGTGGAGGCCGCCAAGAACATCAGTCGCCAGGAAGGACGAGAGACGCGCACCGCTTACGCGATCAACATGGCCTGGTAGGCTTCGTCTTGCACGATCACTTTTGGCTCTTTTCCCCAACGGTTTTCTCTCATTTGGTCTTTGCGTGATGTGTACGTTGGCATAAAATGACTCATTTTAAGTACACGATTATTAATATCCAGCCATCATAACTAGGCATAACAAAAACAATATTTCAAAAGTGAAACAATAAAATACACTTCCAAATATATGGCAGTCATGTAATATCCTGCGTTTTATATGATCGGTTTGATTGTTATCATTTACGGTATTTGAATTGAATTTCCCGAATTCCCAACAAAGGCTTAACGTGGGAGATGAGTTCTAAAAAGACGACGTAGGGCAAGCCTCACGCTCATGAAATCAGATACAGTCCACGCAGACAATATATCTGCAACATGCTGGCTTTTTTAATTTGCTCCAGATCCGCCATCACGCTCAGACCGAAATATTGTATGCCAAAAAGGGGGCGGAGCCAGATGGCCCGCTAAGCCAGGCCGAAAGAAAAAGCGCGCTATAGGCTCAAACCACAAATTCTTTTAAATAACCCTCTTTTTTCCCCTCTCTATTCAAAATCAAATTCCTGCTTGACAAAACTTTATGCTGCTGTCGCGCGCACACACACACACACACACACACACACACACACACACACACACACACAAGTGCTTTATATGTATATTTGAGTAATATTATTGAAATGTTACAATTCTCTTAGTTGAGTGCAATTTGTGACTACTCCATCCACCTGTGCTTAGATGTGAATGGTTTTGTCTCTATGTGTGTAACTGTATGGCGACCAATCCAGGGTGTACCCTAAAGTGAGCTGGGATACTTTCCAACTCCCCTGATGAGGACAAGCACAATAGGGATTACATGGATAGATGTTTAGAGCAAAGACTTTTTTTAACTTAATAATTGTGTGAAGTCCAGTGAATGTGGGCCATAACACACATTCTTGTTATTGCACTATTGTGGGAACAATCAAACAATCAGGCCGTGTGCGTGTCTAGCCTCCAATTTTACATATCATCTGCCTTTGTTGGACACACCCACGCGTCACATGGTAGGCTGGTGACAGCCGGGCGGGCGGGTTGTCACGGGGGCAAGCAAACACCGGTGTCTGGCTGGCTGCTGGCTCAGCGTTGCCGCAGGTGAGGCGACGCCCGGTCAGCTAAGCTCCACTCCCGCAGCTGTCAAAACATCCACGCGCACTGTATACAAAAGGACATTTTTGTGTGGTGGTGTACCTTGGGATGTAAAATATGTGCCTTGGCTCGATAAAGGTTGGAAAACACCGCCATAATGGATGTGACAGACTGAACAGCCGCCCTATCCTGATCCACAGTTTGTTTCATCTCTTTTCCATCCGGAGTTGCAAAGTAATCCGTGTGACGAATTGGCCTAGGAGGAGATAATATAAAATAACTCTTCAAAGAGCATCAAGTATTCAACTTAAGAACACTTAACGGTGCCCCCAAACACTTCCCGCTGTTTTCCGTGTAACATTACACATGCGTGGCAAAAAGTGCATTTTGACAGTTGCTTTGCACAAAAGAATTATTAGAATCATATCTAGGAAACCGGGATAACCTTAAAAATGTTGTATTGTCTTTGACAAGGAACAAGAACCATACACTAAAATCAATGTACACAGTGATTTTCAAAAACGCTATGAAGATTCTTATATAGTTCGTCAGATACTGTAAATCTGCTCTGACCACCCCGACAGCGGCGCAACCCTCCCTCTCGAAAAAAATCCACCGTCCTCCACTCATCTGCGAAATTACCAACCTTTGATCTGATCTGTCTCCATGCAGATAATATGCTGTGCGCTGCGCCCATGGACGTCTTAAAATAACCTGGACCGCCAATACTGCTTACTCGCCATAGGGAGAAGTAAACCCACTGGCAGCCATCTTACGTTGCCACTTGCTAATTGCGCCTAACTTGAATACTGTCATTTCTCTCCTGCATTTTCACATTATTTTCTGTCTCGACGGTAAAAAGGTTGAAGTTGTCGTTGCTAATAAAATCGAATCAATCTGTGGTAGTATCAATTTTCCAGTTGAAGACAAAGTTAAAAAAAACAGGATGTGTGGTGTGAGAGCAGATGACAAAGTCAAGCACCGCTGTCAGACCGAAGCCTCCGATTGGATTAGTCACTCCCTTTATTTGGTGTTTGATGCGCTCGTTTGACCACGCAGACCGCACGACCATATGTCACAGCGCACAAGTGTGACTCTGTTAAAACGGCTTGTAAATGCTTGGCAGCCTGCAAATGAGCTCATCTTTCACCTCGCCTTCCCACTCCTCTTTTCATTTGGATGCCTTCACATTTTCCCGACGACTCCCCCTCTTATTGGTTTAGTTCACACAGGGACAACTTGCACTTTTCACTCGGGGAATCGGGGAATTATGTTTCTATGAAGGCTGCATGGTGGGGTGGTGCGTAGGATATCGGCCTCACAGATCTGAGGTTCTGGGTTTTTCCTCTGGCTTCCTCCCGCATTCCGAAAACATGCAAGTTAGGTACAGCGAAGTCTTGGAATTGCATGATCAACATGCTTTTTATTCGACAGCCTCAAGTGTCAAGTTCATTCTTTTTCTATCTCAGTCTGCTTGTCTCCTGTTTGCCTTCCGAGGCCTCCTGGCGTCCGCACACTATGTAATTTGCAAACTGGTTGCTGGGGGGGAGGGGGGGAAACGCTTGTTTTTTAACTTTTGCACTCGGGTACTGGTGACCACAATGTTAAATTTAGCCCGAGGGAGCTGGAGTGAGGCCTGAAAATGACTTGAGTGACTATGCTTCCCGCTCTCCTCTGCAGTGGGTTTGTGTGCGTGCGTGTGTGCGTGCGCGTGTGGCTTACCAAGCATAAAGCAGGTCCCTCTGAGTGCAGGTTTCATGCAGACAAACAGGGTGCGGCTTATGTGCAAGCTTCCGCTTCATGATGCCACCATTGCATAGGAATGCACAGATGACCTCTCTCTCTCTCTCTCTCACACACACACACACACACACACACAGTGACCACTTTTGAGTCGTTTGTTGTGTACGTTATTTGTGTCAAGTATGAATAATGTGTGGTCCACTCAGCATCCGCACCATTCCTTTCAAAGGGATTGCGCCACAAGCAATGCCAATCGAGTTCATTTGGTACATGATACGAGGGTGGGGAACCCACGTTTAAAATAAAATTAAAAAACGGATGCAAACCATCAAGCAAATCTTTTGGGGCTTTTAACAACAGTTCATCTGCAGTTAGAATTGTACGGAGGGCCGCAGCATTGGTCCCTTGAGATACACAAGATCCCACTTACAAGTTTTTGGAGATACGAGCCGTCATTTGGGTGGTTTTCTTGCCTCGTCTTGCGAGGCCTCAAGATGTTTCGTGCCACTCCCAGTTGAGGTTTTTGCCAAACTAAACAAAAAGAAAAAAAAAAGAAAAATGTGTATGTAAAACAATCACGTTTCGCTCAGTCTTTAGGCGACAATGTAACAGTTCTCACATTCAGATATTCTTTATCCACTGAGAGGAGCTGAGTCCCAATGTGGAACATATCTGTCTGTCTGTCTTGTACTGCCGCCAAGTAGCCAAGGCACGCACACCAGGAGAAGCAGCAAAAAAGTCATTCAATTGGTGCAAAGTGTGACAAAATGGATTTGATTGCTCAAACATGGTGTCTCCCTTTTTTGAGCCAAACCTCTGTTTTCTCCGTACGCAGCACCGAAGCCTTCAGCGCCGAGCGAGGGGCGAGGGAAGGCGCCACCAAGGTGATGATCGTGGTGACGGACGGAGAGTCGCACGACGGCGAGGAGCTGCCCGACGCTCTGCTGGAGTGCGAGACCAGGAACATCACCAGATACGCCATAGCTGTGAGTACCTCGCCAGCTCCATCACTTCATCTCAGCCGCTGCGCTGTGCCTACTTGGCAGTAATTGGTAGTCAACGTTTTCCATTTGCAAAACCAGAAACTGCAGTTGTCCCTCGCCATTGTCATGTTTTGGTTTGTGACCAACAGGTGGCACTGTAAGGCACTCCCTGCAGCTGCACACCTGTTGGTCATTATGGAATTATTGCTTGAATAGGACTCCCAGCATGACCACTCGGTGTCGGGTCATTGTTTGTTGTAGCTGTCATGTTTGTCTGTCATGTTCTCGATCATGTTTTGGTGACTGTTTTTTTCTCCAGCCTGGGATTTGTTTGATACTTTGGATTCGTTTTGTTTTCAGGATTGTTTTGCATTTAGTTTTCTGTATTTTTATCAATACAATTCTTCAAGTACAACTTGTTCTTCCCTCCTGCCTGCTTTTTGGGGTCCACCACCACCTCGTAACGTGACAGCCATGTCGTAATTCAGCTTTTGCAGGTTCACTGCATTGTAGATTTATTCAAATTCATTGTATTTAGCAGCATTAGGATATGTAGTATTAGCTAACAATGTTCACTTTAGTAAGATGTGCAGTTGTGTAACTTACAGTTGCACTTTGGAAAACATAAAACAAATTTTCATAGTCCCAGTATTTCATTTCTTTGGTGGGGGAAGTGTTAATCATTTTTTAAAAATAAAATCGTGGCTCAGCTTCAGAAAACTGAGATATTGGTCGTTACCTGAGCCCTAAGTAACTGTGATGTCATTTTTAGTCGACAGCAAGGGGCAAAATGGCCGCCCCCTGAAATGGATCAAAACAGCTGGATTTTACTGCTTAATTCATATTTCACAAAAGAAATTTTAATCAGAATGCCGTGTTTAGATTAAGGGGGGTTTACAGCAGAACACGAAACAAGATGGTCAGGTACTGTAAAACTGTACTGCTCTATTCTTACTGTAAAAGTACACAACAATAAGAATTATACCAGTTGTCCATTTCAATACAGCGCATACATGAATGTTGAGCTTAACGCTAACACACAATGTAAAAAGTCATTGACGGGCTAACAAAATTAGCATCGTAGTCGTAGTAGTAGTCGTCGTATACCTTTGAATAAAGAATATTCCCACAAAAATGCTCCAGGAGCACATACAAATAGACTAAGTAACAATACTCACAGATCTTTCCGACTCTGTGAAAAAAAACAAGGTACCGGTATGTTAATGCCGTTCAACTGCAACGTTCTTCTTCAGCCTTTTTTAAGAACTTGGTGTGTTATCTGCATACGTGCTCCACGCTGCCTCTACGAGGCCAAAGTGCGCATAGCAGGAACACGGCAGAACAGGTTCAATACTGGGCCAATTAATCGATAAAAAAAACAAACAAACAAATAAATATAGAAATAAATCCCCTTAAGAAAAAAATAAGTTCCCTTAAAAAGAATTCACGTCAATGTGATCGACTCATTAATTTCAAAAGTCTCAGGAGACCAAAATTGGCCAAATGACGACTCGTATCTCGAAACTAAGTCCAGACGTTCGTATGTCAGTACACCACTGTACGATAAAAAGTGAAGCCACGAAAAGTGAACCACTATATTAGCGAGTGATGACGCATCCCTGACATTCCTCCCACAGTTTGCTTCCCCGGCTCCACACGCCCGCAAGTAATCACACAACACTGCCGAGCCCAAAATAGCGTCTTCAAATTGCCAAATGAACACTTTGGTCTCACCGAAATAAGCGAGCGGGTCTGTGAGCTGTATCTGCGCAACTCCGCCCGACAAGAGGCAACCGGAGAAGCGTTTTGTGAGCGAGGTTACCCAAACTCCTCCTGTGGCCACAAGGGTATGAATGCTCTCTTTTGTCGAGAAGCATAACACCGCAGACAGAGAGTCGTTTGCAGTTGCATGTGCCACTGATAGCGATACAATGTATGCTTCTAAAATTGAATTATCTTTATTCGTCTGTGTTTTGAAGAGAAATTAAGTTATCTTACTTGTAAATACAGAGTTCATTTGTACCTTTGCAGATCTAGAAAAGCTGTTCAGGATGTGAATCAATTTATTCGTAGTAGTGGCACCTATTTTTTTTCGACACCCTACTTTCTCACTCTACCCACCTCCACCCACTTCTTTTTTTTGGGCCATGTGAGCAAATGTCATTTTTAGTATATGGTCACTGAGTAATGGATGGCGGGCCACCAACGGCCCCCAGGCCGTAGTTTGGACATATTAAAACCATTTTTTTCATTGACACTCTCAGAGGAGAAGTACTGCTTCTCGTTGAAGTGTGTGAACACGACGTTTTCAGGAAGCCAGGAAGCTTTGGAACACAGATGCTCTCTCTGCTTTGGAAAAAAGGTGGGTGGGCAAATGGGACCTGAGGAAGAAAAAGAATCAGTTCAATTTAGAGTTGGCTCCACACCACAAAAAAAAAAAAAGTTAATTGAGAATCACGTGATAAAAATGACAAAATCTAAATGACCAAATCATCATCAGGTCTACATGATCAAGATCGCCCTTTCCTCCTCACTAGGGAGAGGGTGTCCTTGGCAACATGGATGTTTCTGCTCTCTGCTATTTCCACATTCTTTCCTCAGTGTATGTTTTGCTGCTTAGTTCTATAAACAGTATAAATATGTATATATATATTTTTTTTTTTCAAAGGGGAAAAAAAAATATGACATTGACTTTGTCCCAACACTTTGCATGCAGGTCCTGGGCCACTACCACCGAAGGCAGCAGGACCCCGACACCTTCATCAACGAGATTAAGTACATCGCCAGCGACCCGGATGACAAGTACTTTTTTAATGTGACAGACGAGGCGGCGCTGAACGACATCGTGGATGCTCTGGGAGATCGTATCTTCTCACTCGAAGGTGCGTGTGATTGGAGCAAAATTAAATGAATTGGCCAACTGTGCTGTTATTGCGCCGGGTTGGGTTTCGAGCAAGGTCCGTGGAAATAATGACAAATCAAAAAATGGGACCACCCATTTTTTTGGTGGAGATGAGAAAAGCCACTGGTATTTGATCAAATTGTCAACTCAGCTCTTATTGTCCACATACGGCGTAGTTACGTATTGCTAATAACTTTATACAATACGCAAAAAGAAACCTATCACGCTAAAACGTCAATCTGGCCACGTTAACATGTGAAACTTTAAATTGTGAACGTGTGAAATTTCTCTCATGAAAATGATCACGTCAAAATATGTAGGTCATCACGTTAAAACGGGAAACAAAGTCAAACTTGTCGCGTTAAAACTTATATGTGAAGTTTATTACGTGACATTCATCACATTATAACGTGATTTTTTTTTTTTTTTTTTTTGGTTTGTTTTTTTTGGGTGTAGCACCAATACATTCCATGAAAGGGTTTTGTGGCTTTTGTATTTTCTTTTCCATAGGAAGCGGGTTCAAGTGTTTCTCAGTTTCAAGAATTTAATGTTGCTGACCCCTGAACCGCACTGAAAAATGATATTGACTTGAACAGTAAAATAAAGTCAACAAAAAGTAAACACAGCGGTATCGAATGACTTCAAAGGTTGGAAACATGACAAGCACCCCTGTGAGAATAAAAGAAGTGCCAGTGTGTGCCTTGTGAAGAAATGACCGTAGCAAAGTTTAGGCCTCAAGAGAGGAAGCCTGATGAAAAGTGACGCCGCCAAAAATATGCGGAGAAATCAAAGCGGAAAGGAAAAGGGTGTGGCATTTTGTGTCACCCGCGGAGTTTGAGAGAGTGTGCTGAAAAGAGGGAGTGGGGGGGGGGGATTGAGGAAGGGAGGAAGGACACGCCAAGCGACGAAAGGATGACGAGCACTGACCGTACTCTTCCTCTGCGCTCTTGCGCAACTCGCAGGCACACTGGGCAACCAGAGCTCCTTCCACATGGAGATGTCACAGATCGGCTTCTCCACACACCTGCTGGATGTGAGTGCACGTTGTTCCTCACGCACACACATACTCAAGGGCGGAGGGCGTCTGAATTGCGTTCTCTTGTGGCGTTCAGGACAGGATTCTGTTCGGGATGGTGGGCGCTTACGACTGGGACGGCGGCGTGCTGAAGGAGGGCGCCAGCGGGAGAATCGTGCCGGCCAGGGAGGCCTTTGAGAGCGAGTTCCCCCTGGAGTTGAAAAATCACGCCGCTTATCTCGGTACATTTCGGATCAATGTGCCGGAGGCCTTAATGTCATCTTTCCAGTCAAAAAGAGAAAGAGTTTTATCGGATGTTTTTTTTTTGGGCGCAGGCTACACGGTGTCATCCGTGCTGGTCGGAGATTGGAGGAGGCTGTATGTGGCCGGCGCGCCGCGATTCAAGCATAAAGGCAAAGTCATCTTGTTCGAGCTGAGCGACGACGGCGACGTCAACATCGTGCAGGCCCTCAACGGAGAACAGGTGGGGTCCCCCCGACACTCCCCATCAGGTTTCAAAGAGTGACAATTCCACACTCTCGTCCTGTCAAGCAAACTGAAAGAACATGTCGGTCTTCCCCAGATCGGTTCTTATTACGGCAGCGAGCTGTGCGGTATGGATGTCGACCAGGACGGGATCACCGATGTTCTCCTGGTTGCGGCGCCCATGTACTTGGGCTCCGGGAACAAAGAGGCTGGGAGAGTCTACATCTACACACTCAGTGGGGTACGAATGCACATGGGTGATCATTACCCATCGACAAACACCCACGTTCCATGTTATTGGTCCCTCTCAGGAAGAGGCGTTCGTCTCCAACGGCACGCTGAAATCAGACGAAAAGTCCCAGGACGCCAGGTTTGGCTACGCGATGGCCGTCGCTCCGGACCTCAACCACGACGGATTCACCGACCTGCTGGTGGGCGCCCCGTTGGAAGATGACCATCGCGGGGCTGTGTACGTGTACCACGGCCAAAGTATTTACGTGAACCATAACTACAAGCAGGTACTCTCCGGTCTTCATCACCGCACGGGCTCAAAGTTACCGCAGAATCCAATCGCGGTGATTTCTCGACTTGCAGCGTATTCCGGCCATGTCGGTGTCGCCGTCCTTGCAGTATTTTGGCCGCAGCGTCAGTGCCAGGTTGGACTTGGATGGAGACGGGCTGATCGACTTGGCGGTGGGAGCCCACGGCAGCGCCGTGCTGCTCAGGTGAGCCTAAAGAACCGGCAACTTTTGGTGAACTTCAGTATCTGGGGTCCTTACCAAAATTGGTCCATGTTCGTCTCATGTGCCACCGCAACAAAAGGTTTTGTGACGTTGCTTTGCTGGTGCTGCGGCCACTTTACGGTGTGCTGGAAATGTCAAAAATTAACGGGCAGAAGGGAAAGTTTCATTCCTCCACGCATTTGAGCCTATACACCAGGGGTGTCAAACTCGTTACGGTTTCCCTTGGAGGGCCGTTATGAATTTTGGGAACCCATATAAATGTTTAATCCCCTCCGCATGTTACACACACAGCGCACAACAAATTGATGAATAACTCGTTTTACAACCAGAAGTCAAGAATAATGACTGTTAGTGTGGATTACATATGACAATTTGAAATTTCGGTTCAGACTTTCGCAAGCAGCATGGAACTTGACATGTTTCATTTGGTTTCGCGGGCCTCATAAATTGGCGTGGCGGGCCAGATCTGGCTCCCGGGGGCCTTGGCTTTGACACCCGTGCTATATACGATGCCTTGGCTTTCGCAGATCTCGAAGCATCGTGCAGATCAACGTCAGTCTTTCCTTCCAGCCGCACTCCATCAACGTCATCCAAAAGACGTGCCAGCGCGGCGGCCGCGAATCCGCCTGCCTGGACGCCACCGTCTGTTTCACGGCCGCGTCGCGTTCCCCTGGGCCGAGCGGCAACGGCTTTGGTGCGTCATTGAAGTTGTCGCCTACCACGTTTTTGTTCACTTTTTTTTCCGGATGGCTTGAACCGTTGATTGATCTCTTCCACAGACCTGTGGGTCGCGGCAATGTTGGATGACAGGAAATTGTCAGCCCGGGCGCTGTTTGACGACAGCTCCCACAGGCTGACCCAATTGTCGCTGCGAGCTCACACAGGACAGACTCTGTGCTACAAACTGCCCTTCCACGTCTATGTGAGCATTCCAAGCCAACCTCTACAAGCTGCGACCGCTCCACCTTCTCATTTTCCTCCTCACTCTAATGCATGGTGTCAAACTCATTTCACATTGTGGGCCACATACGGCCTCGGTAGATGTCGAGTGGGCCGGACCATTCAAATTATCCCATACTCTGCTATAAATAACCAAAATATGTCTTTCCTTTGTTTTGGTCTAAAAAAAGCACAAGAACATTAGGAAAATGTTGAAATTTAATGAACATATGTTTTACAAAACACTTCATGAAGCACCTTAGATTTCCTTCGACAAATGTGCAATTTACTTTTTTCATTCACATATATGCATTGCAACTGATCCTACTGATTGTCTGTACAAAGGCACAAAAACAAGTAATTGGTATTGAAAAATATAGTCATGTACTTTAAGATTAAACAAGATTTATAAAGAAAGGAGTTTTGAAACCATTTACACATGTGCATATAAAATCTAAATGTAATCCCTGCCTACACCTTACAAACTAAGGAGAGTGTTTTTAAGTGTGTCCCCTAGTGGATATTCCATGAATTGCACCTTATTAAAGATATTAATTCCGTGTCTTTTATACATTATTTTCACTTTTAAATGATCCCGCGGGCCTGATCGAACCTCCTTGGGGGCCGGTTCCAGCCCGCGGACCGTATGTTTGACACAGCTGCTCTAATCTGTTGGTCTTTGATAGGACACGGCCGACTATATCCGCCCGATCAGCTTCTCGCTGCGCTTCAAGATCAACAACACCGAGAGCGGTCCCGTGTTGGACGAGGGCTGGCCGACGTCGGTCAAGAAATATGTGAGCGAACATCGATTCGCCTCGCAGTTCCTGTTTTCCCCCTCGGCAAAACATGATGTTCTTTCCATGTGTTCCTTGAGCAGATCCCTTTCTTTAAAGACTGCGGGGAGGACGACGTGTGCACCACCGATTTGGTGCTACAGGCCCAAATGGACATCTCCGGAACCAGGTCAGGTTGCGTAAACAGCCACTCGGAACGCGACAATTCTGCCATTCAAGTTCCAATGAGTCAAAGTTGTCCCGTTTCCTCCCGCAGACATAAACCATATGTGATCCGCAGTCCTCGTAGGCGGATGTCAGTGGAAGTCCAACTGGAGAACAGACTGGAAAACGCCTACAACACCAGCCTGACGCTGCACTATTCACGCAACCTGCACTTCTCCAGCCTCAGTATTCGGGTACGACCCGGAATCGAAATTTGCAGATATTCTGGATAAGAACGATGTTGCATTTTGTCCCCCCCCCCCAAAAAAAAACGCCTAAAGTCATAACCCCCAACACATAAACCAAAACATGCACCAGATTCAAAACACAGTTTTATTTTATTACTGTAATTTTTTTTTGTATTTAATACAGAGTATGATGGAGGTCATATTGGATACCATTTTCGTCATTATAACTGATCAATACGATCAGGGAGTTTTTTTATTTATCTCTAAATGTCATTGATTTGTTGTCTGTGTGGCTGTTGGATAATATTTCTTTGCATACTAAAAAAAGAAGAAAAAAAAAAACCCCGACATAGATTATTATTTACCGGTATTTTAAATGCCCGAACCACTAATCCTGTCGGATTTGAGATTATGGAAGCATTCGATTTTCTCAAAAGCTGACAGTGCGCTTTATAATCTGATACACCTTCTATATGGATCAATATTCTGATTTTTTTGGACGTAGTACAGTACTTTAAATGTTCGGTAAAGCGCTTTGTTACCGCGTTTGTGAAAGCTACATAAATATTAAACAATAAATTGTATTGTATTGTATTGTATTACCTTGAGTGTGGCGCCATCTAGTGGATGGATGCTGCAACTGCAGACACTATCTAGCTTCTATTTTATGCGCCTTAGAATGTGGTGCGCCCTACATATGAAAACCGTTTGGAAATAGGCAGTTCACTGAAGGTGCGTGTTATACTTCGAAGCGCCTTATAGTGTGGAAAATACGGTAATTGAACGCCACGCTTTTGGAGATTATTTAGGACTCAGCATCTATTAGACCAAAATGGCGTAGACTGATTTCCCTCCTGCACCATTGAACATCTTTTTGTTTGTAGGAGGACGGCAACTTCAAGATCGAGTGTACAGGGCTGGGCTCCAACAGCCACTCATGCAACGTCAGCTACCCGGTCTTTCGCTCCCAGTCGAAGGTACCCCACACGGGAACACCCGCATCGCACGCCACATTCGGAACACGCCCTCTCGGTCCACGTGTAACGCGTCTCGTCTCTTCTACGCGATCAAAGGTTAACTTCATGCTGGAGTTTGAGTTCAGCTGCGCCACCTTGCACAATCGAGTCCAAATGAAGTTGAACGTTGCCAGCGACAGCGTGGAGCGAGCGGACACTCTCGGGGACAACAGTGTCCAGCTGCAGAGTTTTGTCCAGTACGAGCCCGACCTCTTCGTCAGCAGGTCCGAGGATGCACCGTGACCAGTGTTTTAGCCTCTTTTTGGCATCCCGCCTTTGGGTCTTGACGTGCTTCCATTTTTTTTTCCGCCTCCCGCAGCGACTCGAATTTAAACCGTTATGAAGTGCATCCCACGCGGACAATGTCAGAAGCCATCGGGCCGGAGTTCTACACGCACTTTAAGGTACACTCACAAGCACTGACTTCGTTCCGGGTTCAAACAAGACAAAGACAGCCGATTTTGCAAAGGTTGTTGATTTAAAAAAAAATTTTTTTAAAGCTCCAGAACCTGGGTTGTTACCCTGTGAGTAATCTGGAGTTGAGGCTGCTTCTGCCTTCGGCGGCTGCGGGAGACCGAGTCTTCATGACGGTCACGGACATCTCCTCGCACAACGTGAGTTGTCCCTCGTTTACCGGCGGCGCCCTTCTCGTCTTTCTGTGTGACACACCCGACGTGTCTCCCAGGCCACGGCCGTCAATTGCAGCGTCCTGAGTGATCTGGCGCAGCTGAAGAACCGGCAGAGGGACGTGCGCCCCCTCCACCCCGAAGATATGATGGAGAATGATGTCCTGGTGAGCCCCCCCCCCCCCCCCCCCCCCCCCATCCTCGCAGCATAGCCGCCATCCGGCGATTTGGTTGGCCGAGCCATCCGCCAAACTGCTTTTGGTGTTTCCGTAGAACTGCAGCAGGTCATGGTGCATCGAGGTGACGTGTCAAGTCCAGCAGCTCCTGAAAGGACAAGCTGAAGTCATTCGCCTCAGCCGCAGAGTCCATGACGACTTTTTCCGACAGGTGAGCAGCAGTTTGCCTTCAAATATTTTAGAAAGTCTCGTCCTGTGATGCTTGTTCGAAGTCTTTAGAACGCAGGCCCACGTGGTGCCAAATGTTCACACAGACTAAGTCATTTGTGATTTAATTGAGACAAACTCTTCATCATTTCTGTCTGCACTGTATAAATTTGATGACATTTTAATTGTTAAGTCAGTGTTCCTCGTAAAAATGTGCGTTGGTTATCTAAAGGTTAGGAAACGGTGGTTTTAGAAGACTGAAACTTTTGAAAAGCAAACCTTTGGAAACGCATGGAAGTGCTGAAAAAAAAATTACATTGGTAAAGGGGAAGTAAAGTTTAAAATAATTTTTACAATCATGTGTTTTGTGTGCCTGCACAAGTCTAATTATGATATTCCGATTCATATTTCATTCGTGGAATATGAATGAAGACGACATTAGTGACTCGACTTTCCTTTAAACCAGGGTCGTCAAATTCATTTTTGTCGCGGGCCACATTTTAGTTACCGTTTCCTTTGGAGGGCCGTTCTGACTGAAACCATCTCAAGAAGTCAAGAATAACTGTTGATACAACTCTTGTTTAAGTTATTAGCATAAGAGGTTTGGCAACAAGAAAATGCTAAGAATAGCTCTCTTATTTATTACAAATGAGAATTGTAATTTTTGGTACACATTTTAGAAAGCGTCATGGAAGTTGACATGTTTGATCTGCTTTCGTGGGCCACATAAAATGATGTGGCGGTCCAGATTTGGCCCCCGGGCCTTGCGTTTGACACATGCTTTAAACACACAATTTTTTTTTTTTTTTAAAGCACAGTGCTGTTATTGCATTTGACTGCTAGCGTCAACGTCACGATACGCCCATGGATTTGGTAGCTATGTAATTTTACTCTTGAGGTCACGCCTTGTGCGTCCTTGTTGTCTGCAGGCCAAATATAAGTCGGCGAGGATCGTCGGCATGTATCAGATCGCGCCTCACGAGACCAACCTCATCAGCCTGGCCACGGGGACAGTTTGGCGAGAGGTAACAGCAGCAACGTTTACACACCGCGACCGAAATCTTTTGACTTTCTCCAAAATGTCCTCTCGCCTCAAAAGACTGTGCTGGAGGTGCTGAAGGGACGAGCCATTCCCATCTCACTGTGGATTCTCATCGGGAGCATCATTGGTGGCTTGCTGCTCCTGGCGCTCATCATCTTTATACTATGGAAGGTGAGCGCGCGGAACAAGCTCAGGTTTCAAAAGTCAACTCGTGTGGGCGGAGCCATCGGGGATAATCATTTACCGTCATTTTGCACGCAGCTCGGCTTCTTCGCGCGGAAGCACAGAGAAGATGAGAACCAAGACGACTGAAAGAGACACTCGCTCGGCTCTTCGGGCTCGTCGCTCGTTCCGCCTCCGAGGAGGCTCAAAGACAGAAAAAAAGCATCAGGGGGTCCTTCCTAATGGGAGGTCCTCAGCCCTACGACAGAAACGCACTCGCTACAAGTTCCAGGATTGGGTGCACTTGTGTAAATAGTTGTTTTGTTTTCTTATTTGGAAGTGGATCAAATCACATTTCTTCTATTTAATAAACAGACATGGTCTTGGGGTTTACATTTCAAACAATCGCTGATTCTCAAAAGTGTCTAATTTTTAAATAAATTAAATGGATGGGAAAAAAAACATTGTGACCATTTTACCTTCAACAAACACCAAAGTGTGAGAATAAGAGAGAGTGTCCAAAAATGACAGCATCGGTTTCCATGATCCTTGATGGAGAGGCGCAAATCTGGTTAAAACGCAACTTTTGTGATGCTTTCATGGCAAAGACGTCACAAAGTCGTTTTTTTTTTTTTTTTTTACACATTGACACAACACAACACAAGACAAAGATAATGATGTTTGAACATTCACCTCAAGAGAAATGTGTGTGGACTGTTTTTCTCCGGTGTAAAGTTAAATACTTTTTGTAAAACAGTCAAAAGTTCTGACTGTAATTCATATCCTGACTGTTGTATGCATCGATGGATCCCCCCCAAAAAAGTTGTTTTATTCTTTGCTTTTTTTTTTTTTTTTTTTTTTATGAAGGATTTATCAGAATTTTATTCTGACAAATATCAGAATCGGCATCTGCCTGAAAAAAAAAAATCCATATTGGTAAGGCCCTATGGTAGTTTTACTCAATGGCATTCAACATTAAAAAAAGGGGAAAGAAAAAAAATCAAAAACATCCCACTCAGATTTTTATTAAACAATCATTGCTAAACTGGACAAAAATTCACAACTGACTTAAATCAACTATAAAATCATGAATTGACGTTTTGACAGTTTGCAAATACGATAAGGGATGACTCAACTTGAGGACGAGGCGGTGGCGTGGATGTAAGATTCGAGCAGGAAAATGGTTTCGTCCACTTGGTTCTCGGCCGAATCCAACCTTTTGCGGGAACAGGAACAAAGAGGACATCAGCGAGAATCCGAGGCGGCAATTCGCCTGCACGCTCTGCACTCCTACTTATTGATATGAAGCCGCAGGGAGTCCAGCTGCTGCTTTTCGGGAGCCGTGATCATCTCCTCCACCTCCGTCAGCTGCTCCGGTTCGGCCCCGCCGGCCTGCAAGGAGGCCAGGATGGCCTCGATGCGCTGAGACTTCTCCAGGAGACGCCTGCCAATCAAACACAACACTGTGAAGCTGCCTGACGCCCACGCCGTTACGCAATCAACAAGAGCGGGTGCTCACTTGCTGTTGGATGTCTCAAACAGACGTCTGTGGATGAGGTTTGCCACCGTCTGCACGCGCGCGCGCGCGCGCGCACACACACACACACACACACACACACACACACACACACACACACACACACACACACACACACACACACACAATTCAAAAGCTTCCCTTCAGACATGGAGGGAAGGACAGCTTATGCACAGCTCTGGGAAAAAAGGAAGATTCTGATTTTGCTACTTTTACGGTTATTTGAGTAAAACGGATTTGAAAAGATATAAATTCTATCAACTGCTGACAAAACTCCCAAATTTCAAATCCAAATACATGGATTTCCATTTACAGAGGTGGTTCTCAAAACGTGGTATGAGTACCCCTGGTGGTACGTGGGCTCCCTCTAGTGGCACAAGAGGAAACACTGAATTAAATGTTCCAAATTCATAATGATACAAAGTTGTTTTGTTTTATTTTGTTCATCCATATTTGTTAAGTACAGTTTGGTTGTATTTTTTGTATTAAATATATTATTTTAATACAGTATATTCCTGGATTTCAGCGCAGGACTGACATTGGAAAGTTGCAATGTTACGTTACATTGGCTTGCAATAATATCAAATATACGTTACAGGACTAAAGCCTTTGTCACATACTTAATAAAACCTACACAGTATTTTTAGGATGGTGGTAATTTGACGGCTATGCATTTTTTTTAAGATGTAAAACGTTCGAGACCCAGTGATTTACCGCATTTATTGGCAAGAAAATGTATTCCAGTCTCTTGGGGTTCTTTTTTTCGCCTCCAGAGCTGTACATCAATCAGGGCACAGCAGGTTTTACCTTGTAGCAGTTTTGAAGCAGCATCCTGGCCGTCGAGAGCTGGTTGACGGTGTAAAGATAAAACGTGCGAGACGGAGCAAAGTCTGGAGTCTTTGGGATTTCCTGGCGAGAACATGAAGGTTTGAAGCAAAAACTACTAAAAAAAAAAAAAAAACTACCCCTGGAAAAAAAAAAACTAAACATGTATTCTCTGAATGAGTGGTCTACCTGGAGCTGGACCAGGTTCTGTGAGAGAAGCGTGTAGAGCATGTCTTTGGCCTCCTTGGCGGGAATCATGGCAAAATCCTCCACCTGCTTCTGCTCCAGATGTTTCTTCTTCAGCAATAGGCGGAAGATGCGCGCCGATCGGGATCCGAACCTGCCAAAATGGGGTGACAAGGACACGGTTTGGATGGACGTGAGCTTCAAGTTGAGTGGAAAGGGTTCAAAGACGAGCTCACCTCTCCTGCACGACAGACTCCAGCGTGGCTCGCGCTAGATTGGAAAGTACTCGGTGCAAATCTGACACTTTAGTCAAGGACAGTGAGAGACGGATACTTGTTTTTTTTCCCCCAATGCTTATCGTGAAACCGGTTATTCGTTGCCCAGGAGGCCAATAACCGATATTTGAAGGCGATATTCATTTGGTGGTAAAAAGTGAAAATATTGCCGTCAAAATTTTGATTCATCGCGACAAACTCCCAGTGCTTCATTTGTTCAAATTCCTTCAAGGACACTAACCAACATGCAGGGTTTTTTTCCTATTCTACAGACAGACAATATGTTTTTTTTTTGTTTTTGTTTTTTAGTTTTTTTTCAGAAAAGGATACTGACAACGTACATCCCGCCTCCACTCTCGCCAGCTTTGCTCACAAACTCCATCTAACAAAAAACAGAAACGGTGACAATGTTTTGTTTGTTTGTTTGTTTTTTGTGGTGTGAAGTTGTCATACCGGGTCATCCACCAGCAGAGAGAGGTACTGGTCCAGAACTTGTCTGGGGATGTTGTAGCCAGCCGGCAAGGATCTGAAGATCTCGTTGGCCGACAGGGGTTTGGTGGAGGCGGCCGCGGGCGGGGTGGTCACCTCGCTCATCCTCAGCATGGTCCTTATGATCTCACTGCTGGTCTGATGTGAAAGCGCGGAGGCAAAAAAAAGCTTCTAATTTGACCGTGCGCAACGGCCAAGGTGACTGTGCAAAAAAGCCTGACCTGGTCCAGCTTGTTGGCCACCGCGCTGATGATGGCCTGGTCTCGAAAGTGCAGATGGAATCGCTCAAAGTTCACCTGCCAGTAAATGCCCTCGTCGCCGTGAGTCTGAGCAATAATTGAAACCGTTCCATATTCATTTTGTCAATTGTACTGAAAATATCAATGAGTATATGTGAGTGCGTGTGACAGGCACCGCTGAGTCCGTCCTGGCCTTCTTTGCAACGCTTTGCTCTTTGGCATCCTCAAGCTGCCTCTTTCCTCGTCCTACCAGCGTCACCTGCGGCACCGTGTAGCAGTCGGCAAAACTCTCTGGAGCCGGCGGCTCGGTGCTGGCGGGAGCTTCCTCAGAATCCGCAGCGGCTTTGCTTGCCGTCCGAGGGCAGCGTTGAAGAAAATGAGTCTCCACCAATTTGGAAAAGGCAGAACACACTTCCTTGTATTCCATGCTGTGGCCCTCTGTCACCCCACACACACAAGCAGCACAATGAGACAAGCGGATGACAAAAAAAATAAAAAATAATTACAAATAGGGCGTGACGGATTCAGATTTTTTTTCTCCGTCTGTGCGTGTTCACGCACAGTTATGTGACAACTACGTCATCTAAACTTTATCTGGTGTGCAATCGCACCAGGACTTTATTCTGCGCTACTCCAATTCTTTCCTGTTCCATTCTCTTATTTTATTTTGAAAGGGCAAAAATTAATGATGAATTGGCCAGGCCCTAAAAAAAAAAAAATCTCATTTCTCAATGTGAGTTACTGACCTTCCATGGTCTGCGTGAGGCGATCCGCGACTGTTTTAACGATGTTGCTCATGGTCACGCGACCTCTCTGCAGCATTTCCTCAACGATGAGCTCGCCGGTGTCGCCGTAGAGCGTCTTGGCGGTGTAGATGTAGCGTGGGTAGCGGAGGATCCTCAGGATGAGGTGGCAGCTGGCGCGATATTCGCTGGGGCTGCCGCGTCCTTTGCGGCCCGGGCTGAACACGCAAGTTCCGTGTTGCACCAGCACACAGAGCGACTTCTTCACCTGCCATCACAAGCACAAAACGGCCATGAAAACGTGCACCGTACCTCCAGTCACCTTCTAGAGTAGATCATAAAACACATTTAGAACTACTAAGTTTAAAATTGCCCCGCTGGAAGTGTTTTTTGACAAGAAAAGTGAGTTTGCTTTTTTTTTCCAATAATTTAATACAATCTTTACTTCGGGTCGATGGAAGAAAATGCTCCTCAAAATCATAAAGTTGCTCCTTAAATTAAGTCACTGATTAGCAAAACTGCCTCACAAAGACAAAACATAATTTGGAGCCTTGGGCTTGCTTGGCTTCTTGCCCAGTAAGCCGAGACGGGCTCTACCTGACCCACGACCCTCATGAGGACAAACATTATAGAAAGTAGACACATTGTGCATCATTACAAGAGTAACATGTAATACAAGAAGCGGGGTTACCAAGTCGAGAGAGACACCAGTTTCTTGAAGGATGCTCCTCAGATTTTGTGTGCCACCTCTGAGCAGAGTTGTGCCCACTTTCTCCACAACTTCTCCAAAGTGCTCCCGAAGCAGAAGCCCGCACAGACGGACCTCCTGGGAAGTCATCTTCCCAAAAATTTGTTTTTACAAAAAATAAACACAATTAGAGGAATAAAGACGCGCTAACAACGCTACAAAACGAAAGATACTGTTGAATTTTAAAGGAGTGACACTTTCGTCATGTGATTTACAGCAAAGGGATTTTTTTTCTAGCCACAATCCTCTTTATTCGGCGACTGCTTAAAGTTTAAAATGTGTCTCACACGTGAAGAGCAAGCTTGGGGACGAGGTTAACGTGTTGTGCAGTTGCGTCATGTCGCCGCGGATACCGGAAGTAGTGGCACAGTTGACAGTAAAGTAGTATTCATTTCCGGGGACGCCTACGTGGTGCATTTTGGGAAATGTAGTTGGAAAACTGAGTGATACGTCAACTCCTGAATTAATAATAATAATAATAATAATAATAATAATAATAATACATTTCTTTCGACAACAACAAGTTCATATTATACTCATATTACTGTTTTTAATTCAGGAGTAGAAGTTAAAAACCTAATAATATTTTGTGAGAGTCTACATTTGAGTCTACGTTTGTTGTTGCTCTGTTGTCCAAGTGGGTTCGCAAAGGGTTAAATATTTTCTTACCCAAACAAGAGGTGAAATTCGACACTATTATTAACTGCGCACGCCTTTCTCTTCCCGAAACCAGGTAAATTCGTTCTCTTTTGTATACGAAATTGTAAAGAAAGCTAATATGTCGCTCTTGTTTAATACGGAACTTGCTGATCTGATCTCCACCACGTATGACGTATTTCATAAGAATAAGGAGAAGAAAACCTTTATGCGTCTCTTTTAACACTTATAGAACTTCGATTATCGTGATGCAACAAGTTCCTCGCTGTGTGAAAAGTATAATTGTAACACATCGGATTTTTATATGAAAAGCGCAAAGGCAAAAGAATGAAAAGCAAAACATGACGTGTTGTTCACAGATTCGCGCGCGCGCGCGCACACAGACACACACACACACACACACACACACACACACACACACACACACACACACACACACACACACATAAACAACAACGTTCACACTGTTTAGACTTTAGAGCTTCAAACTTCCAAGGTGGCTTTGTTCATGATGTGGAGGATTTGCAAAAGATCTGTCAAGATCTTCAGTTGCTCAACAAAAAAAAAAAGTCTGCAAGAAGTAAAAATGGAGATTAACAGTGATTGTGTGGGAAGTGAATTTGCGGCTGGGTGGAGAGGAATCCCGTGATCAACAGCACATTTTAAAATGACCACAAGATGTGCTGTGTATGAATTTTGACCAAAACAAATGCAGAGATAATTTTAATTCATTTTCGCAAAAAAGGTGTTTCTTGCTAAGCTCGTTCAATCACCCTGTGACAAAATGGGAAAACGTTTGTAAATGCCAAAAGAGGCTTGAAGAAAGCAAAAAAAAAAGCACTTTTTTTTTCCTTATTCGACAAGATTATGGCCTGATGAAATGAGACTCCTCCTCTCACTTTCCCCGAGTTTCTTGGCAACAATGTGGTGAAATGGCTTTGTAACGAGCACCAAAGCAGCGAGCGGAACAGTGTGGCAAATAACCGACGATAGGTTCCCCACAATAAATAAATCAATAAATAAAAATCTCAGGAATATCCACGGATTGACTGTGTTATTTCTCCTTCCAGACTGAGACGGCAGAATGCCGCTGAGTATCACCAGGGCCCCAGGAGTCACCGTGTTGACGCTGACATCGGACCCCGAAAGCAACTGGCCTCCTTTGTGCCATCTCATCAAGGGCCTGTGCTACAGCCCCTCATGCTATGAGGTGTCCCAGCACCTGAAGGCTACTATGGGCTCTTCTCAAGCCATACTGGGGGTGAGCTTTCAAGCGAACACACGTCAAATACGACAGTTGGGCCAATTGCGCTTTTGGAGTGACAGTTCACCATCAACCGAAATTCTACAGCTGCTGTATACCGTAACATTTTAGTGTCATCAGCAGGTTGCGTACTGGAAGACTCACAGAAAGGCTAATTGCTATTGATCAACAAGAATATTTTAGATACCTCGATATGTTCAACAAATGAATTTACTGTCGAAAACTTTTCATTCTTGAAGCTCCCGGCACTTTTTTGTTAGAATTTGAAAACAAAGGGAAAAAAACTCAACATGATGAAAATATGAAACGTCATATTTCGAAATTATATTTTCCCTTTTACGAACAAATAAACATGGACTCCAAATGTGGGCATCCTCGACAACTAAAGGGGTCAGTCCTGAAAAAAAAGCATTCGTCTAATTTTAGCGCCATTGTGAAATTTCACCCCAAAAGCCAACATCACAAACTTTTCGGGTGTTCATTGAGTCGGGACGAGCCGGCGATGACACCTGTTGGGTTCTCCCCATCATAGGCCCTGCAGATCATGGTGGGCTTGACCACCATTGCTGTCGGCATCATCCCCATGTTCGGCGGTTACGCAAACCCTTGGTGGAACATGGATGTCAATTTGTTCTCCTTATGGATGGGACCAGTGGTAAGCAAAGCAACGCCCACATTCAGTCGAGAAATCTGCCACCTTTTTGCTCTTTCGAAAAACACCCTGAGAACCATCCACGGCCCAGGTTAAATAGTAATTTGTCTCAAGGAAGTATGTTGACGTGTCACATCTGGACTGAGGGTCAAGCTGCGTATGGCGAGTGGGAATGATGTTTTGTCTGGGTTGCCAGTGGACGATACAGGGGGTTTAAGCTTTTATCGTCTAAATGGCCGCCTGTTTTTTAATTTTTTAAATTTTTTAATTAAGCAAGAATTCAGCCCTTTGCAGCACCCTTTGTTTTTGTTTTTGTTTTTTTTTTTAAAATTAAACAAGGATTCAGCCCTTTGCGGGACCCCTTGATGCCATGCTAGCGAAAGCAGCCTGGTTGTTGGACCACCGCCTCAAAACAGGCGAAGTAAAGCGAGTGTATAAAATTTGCTGGAATTCATTCCTGTGAGGCTGTGGCTGACCCTCTATAAAGTGTAGAAATTTGGAGAAAGGTGGCACTTTTTGAAAACTTTGTACCTTCTAATTGTTACTTTTCTTCATTTTAATACATATTTCAAAGGTTTTTTTTTTTTGGCCCACTTCTCCAAGTACTATACACTATTCAACTTTCATTGGCTTAATGATGAAAACTAAACTACAACAAATATGCTTTCTAAAAATATTAACTCTTTCGATAGAGTCAATGTTGCTTTTTGGTTACTCAATGTATAGGAAGCAGGTCACATTGATCTATCTACATTTTTAGTGTCCCCCGCAAAAAAAAAAAAAAAAAAAAAAAAACACCACAAGTGCTTGAGATTGTGATTAAAATGCCAAATGTGTTTGCAGTTTTGATCTGTTGTTGCTCTTTCTGCTTCTCCTGTAGTTTGTGCTCTTCGGCATCGTCTGCATTTTGTCTCAGAAGTACCCGAGTCGATGTCTGGTGAGCAACATTTTTAAATTGAAAAAAAAATATTTGGGGGGACAAATAACTTTCTCGACTGTCCGACGTTTTGCTTTATGTTAGCATTTACTGTTAGCATTGACATGCACCCGCTAAAGTTGATGTGGCCAAGCTAACGTGCTTTGAGTTGGAGGTAAAAAAACTTTTGGGATTAAAAAAAAAACAACAACAGTCGTTAACGATGATTTGCGAAGAGGCCTTTGCCTGGAAGCAACTCGGAAACTGATGACGCTTGAGAGGCTAAACACCTTCGGAGACATTAGTAAATCGCAATTGCAGTTTTATTTTTTCAAAATCACTCAGCCTTAATCGCGTCCCATTTTTTGACGGCAAGAGAGAAACAACGAGTGCGAAGGATTACTTTGAAAAGTAGCTTTCAATAAGTTGAAGTGCATTTTAATAAATCAAAATGTATTTTTTTTTAGGTCATTGTCAATGCATTTCTGAACATCTGTGGCATGTTATTTGCCATGGCCAACCTGATCCTGTGCGCCATTAACATTGGCGTGATTGACATTTGGGACGTGTGCCAGCCTGACTACTGGAACCCGGACAACCCCACGCAGAGTCCCAACAAAAAGTACTTGGAAAAACGATGCTGGCAGGGGATTGACCACATGCTTGTAAGACTTCAGCGCCTTTTTACATATCAAGTAAATTCAAACATGCAAAGACCGAACCATTTAGTAAGGCCCGATCCGTCTGGATTATTTTATTTTGCAGATTCCAATATTTGTCATGATGAAATCCCGATCACCGAATACAGATGAATAAAATAAAATTTCTGGTCCCTTAACGCTTGTAACAAAAGTCTGAATTATTTTACAAAGCAATTTGGCATATGTATTACTTTGTTTTTAGTAAATATTTTTCTTTCAAAATGTTTGCTAGGGTACAAAATTGAGCATACTCCTGATGGTCATATTTTGTGGTTGAGAGGCCTTCAATTTTGCTTTTCTGTTATTTCTTATGGGACCAGTGGATTTATTTATTTATTTATTTTCAAGTAGCCCTTTTCCTCCACATCTCGAAAAAACATGCTTGCAGCTCTTCCCAAAACACCCTCCTGATCTGAGGCCCTTGATAACATTACTGTGCCGTCTCCAGATGTTCCTGAGAGGCATCAACGGTATCCTGCTGCTGTTGGCTGTCGTGCAGCTGTTCCTGGCACTCAGTGCCGCGATCTTGGCCAGCAAGGCTCTGAGGAGGGGCGAAAAGGAATGCCAGGTAACACCAACTTATCATGTTGCCGAGTCAAATTGACCCCTTGTTTGAAAAAAAAAAAAGAGAGAGAATTTAAACATGCGAAGCAATTTAGGAGGTCTGTATATAGTTGAGTATAGTTGAGCATAGTCTTGCTGGTGTCATCAGCTACCAGCAGGGCAACAACACCCAAAGGTTCAACTGTTCCAATCTTGGCCCGTAAGATAAATGACGGTTCATACAAACTTTATGAAAACTTCACATAAGTAAATAAAATGTTAAGAAATAATGGTTTTTGACATATTTTATGCTTCCATTGAATGCACATCGTGCTGATCCAGTTGCTATGCACGCCTTGACCAGCTGGGGGCAGTATACAACAGCCATTGTGGCACAGAAAGACTTTCACAATTGAAGTAAACTGCATTCATGTTATTCATTTTCACAAAGGATGAAGAAAATGTCCGAATATCGTTACATGCGTCTGTGTGTGGATCTAAAACATTTGTGCATTATTTTTAGGGCGTTGATGATACAGAAGTATACAAGGCGCTTCTGGAGGAGGAGGAAGTCATTGCCAAACCTTCAGCCTAAAACAGCAGTTTTTCTTCAGCATCTGGGAAACTTTCTGCTTTATATACGCTGGAGCCTTTATCATACTGCCACTTTACAGCATCTCCAAGAGCACTTTTATAATATCGTTTGGATATTTCATGCACTCGTTCAATCATGGCCGAATACATATCAAACGTTTACAAATTTGGCTGAATTTCTACATTGATTTTCCGCTTCTTTTTGCACTTGCTTATATGGTAATTTTTTTTTAAATACTATCTTCTTGTATACTGGAAGTGAAAGAAAGATTTTACATGTTTGAAAAAAAATCAATAGGTTGTACGTTATGAAATAAACAATGTGTCACAACACTAGTTTGGATTTGTTTTTTTATTCACAAAATGATTTCTCTTGGTAGTTGTGTTAAATCACTAACATGGTGTCACTATTGAGCTAGAAATCTGCTGTTAAGCTTTGGAGTCGACAAAATACTTTAAACTACATATTCGTAAAAAATATACATATATATCAATTTTTTTCTTTTAGAAAATACAATTTGAATCTTGTAGTATTACAACCTCCTCCGCCCCCCACCAAACAAGAGTCTTGGAATTTATACTACTTTTTTTTCCTTTTAGAAATATGACATTTTTGAAAAATCACATTCGATTTCAATTCTTGAGTATATTTTTTCTCTTGAAAAATATTGACAATACAGTTGTTTTTCTACAAAGGAACAAATATGTTGATATTAATCTTGTCATGATCTGCCTTTAAAAACAACAAAAATCCAAAATCAGGTGGTTAGCCACAAAGTAAATATTCAGGTGTGGAATATACAGTGAAGAAAGCACATGACTATAATCAGCAATCGCCATTATTTGTTTCTGAGGATTCCTCCCGCCTTGTTGTGTGGTCCACTTAAAGCAGAACTGTTTTGGTCCAGGTCCAGGAGGAGCGTCTTTACCCCCGAATGGAGAAATTCAAGGTCTGATTCCCACTGCAGCCACAAAACAAAGATACCTTAGTCCAAATGACAAACTGTTCTCAATTGCCTTACCTGCTTAAACAAAGGAAACTAAACAATTTTTAAAAATCCATTTCAATCTCATGAATCCAAACACTTTTTTCCCTTTAAAAAAATAACTTCATCTCGTTGTCTTACACATCCAAATTTAAGATTTACTGAAAAGGAATTAAAAAAAAAAATAAGGACAACAGGCACTTTGGAGGTGGAGTTGTTGACTTGATGGAATTGTGGTGAATTGTTTTAGTAGTTGTGTGTACTTGTTGCTGCGGAGGCTCAGCAGCGACGGCGAGTACACTCATGCTGATGCTGACACAAAGCACCAAAACAGCCAAAACCAGCAGCATGATGTCCATCCCTCGAGTCAGCCGCTGACCAAAAACATACAAAAATGGAGAAATTACGGTTGTTGTTCTGATAAATATATACCTCTGAGTATTGGTATATCGTCTGTGTGCATGGCATGTGTTTCTGCATCCCTTATTTGAACGATTTGAAAGGACACAGGCACGCCAAAGTTGACTTACGATTGCGTAAAGGGCCACATCTTCACATCCGCCGCCGTACAATGAGCTGCTGCCACAGAACAAATCAACGGACAGCCCCGCCAGATCCAATGCATACAAAACCACGGCCACCACCGACAGGACGGCGCACAACACGTTGGCAGTCACTGTCAAGCTAGCCTGACGACAAGCAATATGAAAATAAGATTTTTAATGTACAGTAAATCTTCCACAGCCACCATCACAGGTTCGGCAGATTTTTTTTTGTACTGTGTCATATTTAGTTTTTATGCAATTCTACTAAGCACCACTTGATGGCGGTGGACTATTTTCTTTGATATTGAATTTGACAGAAAAATTAAAACAAGTAGTATTTCAGATCAGTCTAGTTTTTTGCCGAAGATTACTCGTCGTCAAATTCTCTTAAATCCTGTTTTTTATGCCAACAGGAAGCGATGGCGATAAGTTTATTTTTACAATGCACAACTGTGGGCAGATAAGTTAGCTTGGAAAAAAAAAAGAGATTTGTTTACTTTAAACGGAGAGATTGGTTTGGACAATATTTTTGTCTTATCCATTGCTCTTGCTTTCTTTCAATTTGTGTTATTAATGTACCAATATGAACACAAATTACATTTTTAACTGAGATGCAAACCAGCTCATTCGAAGAGCTCATTGGGTAGGTAGACCAAAAAAAAAAAAGTTAACTGCATTAATAGCGCATTTAAATGTCATATAAATATTTGTGATGTTTTTAATGGATCATTCCCATATACTGTAATTTGATCAACAACAGCAAAGAAAACTAAAAAAATGTACAAAATTTGTGATGCCACCTTGGTCTTACATGTTCCACAATTAACCTAGCTACTTTCAAAAACTTATTGAAGAACTGATTATTGAAAAGTGTTGCACCAAAACATTAGCACAAATTTTCTCTTTATAAAAGTTTCAAAATAAACTATTCTTTCAGAATAATTGCAAATGTTTTGAGCTTCAAAGTTAAATACAACTAAACAGTATTTCGGCAGTAATTATTTTGCTGACCACTAAAGGGAGCCCACATGGGCTGTACTCACAAAGCAGCAGGACGGGCACTGACCCGACAAAAGCGACAAAACTCCTGCGGTGATGAACTACAAAAATGAAAGAAAAAGATGGAAAGCGAGTCATCTTTTCATCGCAAAATGTTTGGCATCTTTGAACATCGTCGTCGTTACCACGGTCCCGATCCAGTAAGCGGCTCCCACACTGGCCAAATCTCCGGGGCGTGTCCGTGTCCTGCCGGCACCCAAGCCCATGTTGACCACTCCCACCAGGATCTGGATGGTCTGCAACGTATCATAGCAACACCCCAAATAGCATGTAGCTTAGCATAGCCTAGCCTATCGAAGCATAGTCTGCAATGATGTCACAGGTTCCAGCCAACTGGAAAAGTGCAAAACTTGAGTGTATTCAAACACACGCTGAACGAGTTCGCATAAAAATTGGACTTCTCAAAACTATTTTTGTCAAAATAAAATTAAACAAATTAATTAAAGCTGTATTTTTGAGATTAAAGAATTTTTTTTTTTTGCGACAAAAGTCACATTACAAGATCAAATCTGTACTTTTTCTACAGATAGGACAATATCAGTCTTTTAAAGTTATATTTGTGCAATTGTAATATGATGACGTCATTGTATCATTAACAATAGGTGTGCACATAGGGTCAGAGGTCATTGTAGTTACCCCAAGAACAACTTTGGCCTCGCTCTTTATCACCCTGCAAGGCGAGCAGCAGCAACTTTGTATCAAGCCCAATGCGCTCATCTGATTTGATGCCACCGTCACCATGGCAACTCTTTTGTCTCCCACCACTGTCAGGGACATCCTGGAGGGATGACACACCTCATTAGGGACGTAGGTACGTATGCATTTGCACACCGACACAACTACAGACAATCAGGAAGGATACAATTTGAAAATGACAGCAATTGTTTTGTCTGTTAACTTTGCTGAAGGGAGATTTTTTTTTTTTTTTGTCTCAGTTGCACGTTGGAATGTTGACACAAAAGTACCACAAGTATGCTTGGCTTCAGGGATTTGCCTCTACAAAAGCCTTACACATTTTTTCTCCCAATACTGCATCAGTTTAAGAAAAAAAAACGGAATATTTTTCAGGATTTTTTAAAAAAAGGCATATTTTCACAGAAAAGTTGTAAATCTTGGGGTGGTGTATATTAAAAAATTTTTTTAGTGTTTTCAACAAAAACTTGCATACCTTTGAGGGGGAAAAAAAGGATCATTTTCAAAAATTGATTTTATTCTTAAAAAAAAAAAAAGAACCATTTTATGAGGAGGGGAGTTGTGTGTATATATAATTAAAATATATATTCCAAAAAGTTCCATATTTTGGGGCAAACGGGACAGGAATTTATTTTGAAGTGACAGTCGGATATTGTCAAGATTGAAACTATATAGTATCCAAAATAAAATGAAAATTCTTACCCGCTGGTTCTTCGCTCTCGGCCAGCTGTCATCTGAAAAGATAAGTGCACAAAGACAAATGTCAAACGTCCACAAAGAGCAGGCTAAGGCACACTTCCTGTCTGCTCTTTGGGTCCTTCACATTAAAAGTTTTCTAGAAGCCACGCAAGGTCACTCTGAATGAAGGTGTAAAACGAATCCATCAGTCCCTTGACATACAAGTTTATTGCATCACTCTGGAGGAAAAACTAAATAAATAAATACAATTTTTAAAAAGGGGGAGTTTGCTCCTCCCCCATAAATGTGTACTTGGAGGGCAGGGGAGAAAAACATTCCTCAAGCTCAAAAAATTATTTAACAAGCAGCAACACAACCACCAAAAAGCATTTTCAACAAAAGTCGGGAGGGTTACCTCACTGATTTCATTGATGCGGCACTAGTTTTTCTATGCAGATGATAAAGAAAATATGACCATAAGGACTGTTATAGGATCTGTCTACATGTCGTTACTGAACTAATTGATTTTTTTTGCTGAAAAGGTGTTCAAGGACCGCGACGCTAATTAGCATTAAGCTAGCTCTTTCTAGAGTGTCACAAAGTGTCATAAGCAGGCCGCAATGGGTATGGACGGCTACCTCTTGCCTGGCGACGGGAGCCTTGACGATTACAGTGGCCAGCTTGAGGTTGACGTAGAGCAGAACGACGGCTAGCGCCATCAGAGTGGCATCGGAGAACGTCAGGAGCCTCTGACAGAACAACAAGATTCCTCATCATGACAAAAAGCATCCCCACCGTCTCCCTAGCGGAGGTTTACCTCTGCCAGGAAAGCCACCGTTTCGCAGTCAGCATCCAGTCGCTGTCCTCGTCTTTCAAATCCTGGTTGGCACATCCACAGGACGGAAGCGTTTTCTGCATCGGCCGCGTACAAAACCAAGGCGGCCAGCGCAAAAATGGCGCAGGCTAGGTTCAGCAAGCTGGTGAAACACTTCTGCAACACCACATCATCACGCAACAGCAACATAAGGTCACAACTACGACAGTGGGAACA